GAGCATATGCATTTAATTCAAGATGAGATATCATTTGAAGATGGTGGAAAAAGATGTCACTAGATGGCACTGATTTCCACTATTGGCAGTAACTCAGTAATGTCTTTGCTATATGCAAATCAGACCTCAGCTGAATCCTAACAGGTACCAAGTATTTAAAGAACTAAGATAATTCAACACAATTCAAACACAATGATTAGCACAGTTCTGTGTGCGTTGGATGCTATTTGCAGGAAGAGGCTCAAAAAATATGGAGTAAAATTTGGGTAGTCTTAAACACCTGAGGGTTGCTATTAATAGAAACTTTCTTCACTTGATTCAGTCCACTTCGTTGTGTCTGCTGCTGCTTTACCAAACACAAGTGGGGAAAAAAAAAACCAAACCCTATGTAATGTTCCTTCTGTTCCACCTCAGTTTTTCTTCTGACAAGACAAGGTTGTGTTTTGGGGCTGCGTTTTCCCTGTTTGCAGGTGGTTAGGCATTGGTCTCCAACCACATAGAGAGATCGGGCATTTAGGCAGCGGGCTCCAGTAAGTCTGCTGAAAATTACCTTCATTACACTACATGAAGAAGCTTTAGTATCTTCAAGGAACAACAATAATTTAGAGACTCCCGTCCAGCTCCTTGCCTGTCACTAGTGATCACGCAGCTTGCAGTAGTATGTGCTGCCGCATGAGCTATGGCTGGCCCCCGCAGCCTGTTCTCATGTCTTACTACTGAGGCTCCCTGCTAAAGGGGGGATCAGTTACTTCATTTCCACGCAAGTTCTCTCCTTTTTCCACACTATGAGATTCTCTGCATCTCCCTGCTTTTTCCTAAGCAATTTCAGTTTAATGAGATGAGCTAAGCTTTGTTAAATCAAGAAACACATCTTGCACCAGGTTCTGAAGTGCAGACTGAGCATGGGCCTGGACGCTCTCACAAGGGGTGTCAGTTCATTCAGTATAGAGTTGGTTAAGAATCTGCTCAGGGGTTTGCTGTATATAAAACACAAAGCGTAAGCATGGGTATTCTAGTTATTGCATTTGTCTTACAGTAATGACAGGCTTCAGAAACGAGGGGAGAGAGAAAGCAATTTAAAGCTGATTACAAAAGAATTAAGGTAAGGAGGTCTCATTTACTGCAGTGAAATCTAACACTGAATTTGGGAGCTATTCTGTACACTGAAGGACGGATTAAAAAAATACTTGAGGCAAACCAATATACAAAACCCCCCTAAGAACCTCTAAAGCTCCTAATTATTTTTCCTCCAGCTTTGAACAGAGCTGCTGAACAATACCTCTCTCCACTGCGTTGCTGTAAGCTACTCTATTGGTTAGGAGAAAACGGAAGATTTCCTTATTTCCCTCAGGGACACAATAGTTCTTACTGAACAGAAGGATCAGATAGGAGGAAAAAGTAAAACTATCCACTGAAAGACAGTAGAAAATTCCTAATGAATGTGTACTCTTATTTTAGTGTGTTCATGGAGCACATATAATATGAGAGTACTGGTCACTTCACTGCACAGGTAGTCCTCTGCTTTTATTTCCCTTTCCTTGCACTACTAGGCAGAAGAAGACACAGAGAGAGGTAAGTGCTTAGATACATCTAAAACATGAATAAATTTAAATTGTTTGTGCTTGTTTGGCTCAGCTGAACACGGGCTTTGTGTACCAACTGAAACCAGTAATCTTCCTCGTGTCCTTCTCCAGATCTAGCAGAAACCTTCTGGCAAATGTTCTTTTGCAAGACTAAATCTTCAAATGTTTCTGGCTTCTGAAACCTAAAGTGAGCATGGAGTTGGGACACTCAAAAGCTAAACTCAAAGGGACTGAAATAGCTATTCAGCAATTGTTTATAACTTCTATTTTATACTTAATTTTCTATTTTATAGACTAGAGCTGTGTTAAGTATACGTCATATATAACACTTAGCTTCAGGGGTAACACTGATCTTGAGGCTGCCCTCTGTCAGGCCTGAGTGAGTCGCAGTAGCTCTCTGTATCCTATATCAGAGCCTGCACCTTGTGCTTTTACTTGAGATGTGCTATCTGCTTTTGAATATCAAAGAGGTGGCCGCTACCACCAGAAGACCCACAAATTCCAAACCCCTTGTAGAAAGAGAAAAGTGATGGGATGGGGGGGGGGGGGGGGAACCTCACTTACACGAAGTAAAATTACCTGACTTAAGCAGAACTGCCAGAGGTTGTCTATCCTCGTGTCTTGGCTGTCCAGCCTATGTAAATGACAACTGCAAAATCTAATTATCAGTATAAATGTGGCCTAAAAGCAGTTACGTATACTTCATCCTACTGCATCTTGGATATGGTTAAACAGCATGATTTGCTTAGGAAAGTAAAATGTCATCGTAAGAATTTAGCATGGCTTAATTACTAAACTTTAAATATATACTTCACCTGATTCTGCATCAGCTTCCACACAAATCCTTACTGATACGTTGATTTTGCAAATATACAGATGCTGTTTCAAAGAGGAATTGTCCACACGAGAAAACTTTATAAAAGGGTATGTTTACTTCTATTCTGCTTTTCCATTTGGTATAAAGACAACAAAAAGTAACTTGGTCTTAACGTGCTGTGACCTGAAAATGACTAAAAATGAGAAAGTAATGACTAATAAATCCATGAGTCAAGAGGTTGCACGAGTTTGTTACTGATCCATCATGAGATGTCAAGCCAGATAAGAATTCAGGAAAAGGAACGTGTAAACAATCAAACCTACACTTGATAATTTTGATGGGCTGACGTTACTTGCTCCACTTTCATGAAGCCCCTAAGAGAGACAGAGATCGAACTGTGAGCTTTTTGCAGATAGTTTGGTAAGACCCAATTCTCGCACGTTGCAGAAGCCCTTCCTGAAAAGACCTGAAGCATTAGGCTGCAAGATCCTATACCTACAAATCGTTTACTGCAGTGTCAAAATGTGTAACGAGTATTTCACTTGGTGTTCACTTGCAACAGAAGGCATAATCAGGGAATTTCTGTCACTGTGAAGAAAGTCACATACTTGACAGGAAACAGGTTCTGTAGAACCAGTCCTGAAACAGACTTCAGTGTGATCGTACAGATACACCAACAAACTGCTTCAACATACAGTTTGATAGTACCTTAAGCTAGAATGACAGCATGCATTCTAGCATTAATTTCTTTAATTTTTCCTGTCACCATCCATTTTGACTATCTTATGTTACCATTATATGTGAACTACCACATGTTCTTTATCTGCTTTCTTGGCAAAATAAGAGATCATGCATAAATTCTGTGAAAAAGGAATTCCTTTATTTTTTTAAAAAAAGGACAATTTTTCCATTACCAAGTGAAAACTTTACAAAGTAAAGTATTTCTCTTCCAGTAATATTTTAATATAAACACTTAAATCACTTACTCTGGTCTTACTGTTCTAACAGGAATTCTTGTGGCACCGCAGGATCCAGGTATTTTCAGCCTCACTCTAGTATCTAATGATAAGTTTATCACCTGTTTAAATAAAATCATTTCTGTGGCCACTTACCATCAGCAAACCATCCTTACCACCAAAACCAAAAATAAAGCATCTTCACTAGCCCAAAAGAGACTAAATTATAACAGCATTATTACAATGAGAAGCTTTGTTAAAAAAAATTTATTTTGAAAGTTAGACACAACCTTAAAATTGTACAAAGACAACAAGCACTCAAATTACACAAAGAGTTAGCAGTGAGTACAATGTGAGCACAACAACAGTGAGTCTTGCCTCTCTTTATATGTAAATATAAATAGAGATTATCCTTGCCAAACTTCCAGCTCTACCCCTTCCCCCCCCCCCCCCCCCTTCTTCCCTGAAAACCAGCTCATTATGCTGCAAAACCTAGCAGGGAGCATTTCACTGTTGAGTTCAACAGAATTGCTAAAAGGGGCTCTGGCTAAAAATAGTCCTTCTATCATGAGAATATCCCATACTTTGCCGAACCAAGTTTCTCTCTCAATTGAAAAACAGCTTTCCCTTTCATTATGTCAAATGTTTCACCTCCTCTAGGGACCTGCCAAATTACAGGCTTCAAAATGCTTAAAAATATTAAAACTTGCTCATGTTTTTTCAAGAACATGCAAGCTGAAACTAACATGGTTTATACATGTAAGCAGTCACAAAACAGAGAATGTTCCTGTTTGTATTTTAGTCTTTGAAAGTGTTGTTCCAAGAAAATCACTTTGGAGTAATTTTAGCTGTGAGTTGGCTAGACTAATATAAGTACCTGGTCAGAGAAGAAAATATTTCTTTTTTTTCTTTTTTTTTTTGTATTACATTTAGAGCTTCAAATATACTAATAAAACCACCTGGCAAAAAGCATTCCTTATAGCTTGTCCCTGCTTTTCATTTTACATACATATGTAGACGTTGCTACCATCCTCCCTTTACTTCTGAGAGTACTTTTCACAGGAAATACATGGAAAAATAATGCAGTGTTCTTGCAGAAAAAAGGAAAACCTCAGGGAGACTGTTAAACAACTTAAGCACAGCCTCTGTTCTAGGAATTAGTTGTTACTTAGGTTTAGATATACCAGAAAACTTCCGCTGTAAATCTTTCCTAAGATCAACAGCAATTAAACCAAGGTTATGCTTTATCCAACTATAGCCATACTGGCAAAATTATGGTCTGAACTTGAGTATTTGCAGGACTCTGTTCCAAGACTGAGTGGAACCATTTTTACTTTCAAAGAAAGTAAGTGTAACTGTCTTGCTGATGATCTGGGTTATGTCCATGAATATAAACTCACTTACTTATTATTCTTTCTAGCTTACCTGGAAGTGCTTTATTCTTCGTTGTTTTACTCCACTATGAACGTTTGTTGCAATGGATCGGTATCTTGATTTTCAAAAAGCTTGAAAAATGTTGTGGCTTTTTTTTTTTTTAACAAGAATATCCTATTATTAAGACACCAGTGTCCTACAAACTGCTGTGCATTGGCATTAAGCCAGTTCCATTCAAAATCCTGATGACCATTTTTTGCTTCCAAATTGTTATGAGTTGGTAGCCTATGGCTACACTGATAAGGTTCCTCACCAGGCCCGTACCCGCTGCAGTAATTCTGCATAAAAAATAAATTGGTACTAGAATAATTACTGAAAATACTTGCAGCATTGTATTAATTCTGTAAATTGAGGCTCTGTATGCAGACTGCTTTATAAGTAGAGTAAGCTTTTGAGAAACTAAGTGTTCTAACATTGCTTTGCCTTGAAAATGACCGGCTTTCTTTTTTTAACAAAAGCTGTTGATGTTGCTAACTTTTATTTTTATGTAAAACCGTATAAGTGAAAGTAACTAGGGTTTTTTTCAGTTGAGCAAGAGCCTATTTAATGTTACGGTTAAGCTTTTGAAAATGTCTGTCGGTTTGCCAGTCAAGGGAAAAACATACAGCATTGAATCCTATATAAAATGGTTATGGGGTGCAGCCTGTGAAATCCCATGTTAGCAAGAACTGAGCTAACTAGCCCAAATTCATAGCTTTTAATCATACCATCTTCTCTAGATGCTTTTGCTTAATGAAAGCCTGTTTTCTCAGCACTCCATTGTTTTGTATTTGCTTCAATTCTAAGATAGCATTCACAAGGTAAAAAAAAAAAATTAAAAAATTAAAGCAAGGACGTTGTTTCACCGTAATGAAACAGCAGCTGTAAAAGAACACTTGCAATTACTGTCAGGACAGAAAAGGCTAGTGGCAGTGTACCTTTCACTTGGCTTAAGATTTATAAAACAGTTCTAGCCCAAGGCAGTTCATGATCTTAAGCTAAACCCAAGCTTGTGCAATAGCAAACAATATTTTGGAAGGCAGATTTTGATACCTAGGATTAGAGAAAAAAATTACTACTATTATTTCTGTATGAAGCTCTAAACCAGCAACCAGTATCATTGACAGGATTGCTATGACTGCATGGAGTCCCGCTAGCTTCACCAGGGACCAAAGGTGCAGCAGTGTACTGTGTACCCATGTACTGGTACACACGGATAGGCAGCCTTCTGCTTTTCAGTTTTGTCCATTTATTCAAACAAGTCTCATAGCAGAAGGCTGTGCAAGACATGGTTATAATGTAACACGTGCATTTCTGTAGAAGCAGCTAATTGCACAAAAACCAGTTGTTAATAAGTATGAAAGTCTCTCTCAATCCAGCAAAAGAGACTGCTCTTGAGATAGCTAGGGAAATAGCTACAGAAACAAAATAAGCAGGTTATTTTGTCTCTTTTTAGCAATTACTTAGTATTGCTGTAAATATCTGGAATAACAGAAATACTGAGAAACAGATACCGTCAAACTCTACCGGGAGGAAAGGAAGCTGAACAGAAGAACTGGCTCCACCTGAAGGAGTTAAAGCATGTTTACACCATTGTACCCACTGAGTGGAGGATTTCTGTGCTGCTAGAAGATGCTTGGCACCTCCCTGAACGCAGAGCATCTCAAGGAAATCTAGAGCAGGCAGAAGTTGGTCGTATTCCAGCATTTTGCACAATGCTCCCTCATTCCATTCAGAAACTTTATAGAGCGCTTACATCGAGTGGACTGTTTGGCATAGTAATTTGTAATAGCTCAGTAACAGTTTACTAGATTTTGGAGAGGGTAACATTATTGAAATTCTTTAATTTCTCACTTTACTTTTTGCCAGTCCAATAGATGTGGCCTTGGCACAGAGTAAGAAATACAGCCCAGGTCTGTAATTCCAGTATAGCTTCAAAGTACACACGCTTTCCTATTTGCGCTTACAGGTATTGAATAGCCTTTGCAGTAACTATTTTGAAAACTATTTTAATCACTTTACCTCCTTTGACTAAAAGGCTGAGGACAAGGCCAGAGATGTAGATAGAGGACCTTCAGGGAAAGACGGAGGAGCCTCTTCTCCTGGGCACTGTAAAAAAAGTTTTCTCAACTCCACAATTTAGTGCCTCCCCCACCCCCAATTTAGATTTAGTATCCTTTGTCCTGCCAGTAAGAAAAAGGCATTAATCCTCTCTACTAAGACCTTGGTCCAGTATGAGTTTCACTTGCCCCCAGCTGCACTGCAAACCACACTCGGTTGCTGGTTTGTCTACTCAACTTTGAAAGATCGGCGCTGAAGGGGACATGTTAAACCGAGACAATGAAACAGTGATTTTAAAAAAGCGGGCATGGTAAACCTGCAGAACCCCTAGCTTTGTGAGAATAGTGGCGTTCAGAGGTCAGTACAAGAGACCGGCTATTTAAGCTAGATAATGAATACATCCACGGTTGCACCAAATAGGATAAGAGAGTATTCTAGAAGAAAAACATTTCCCGTTTTAGAACGTAAATCGAACTTGAATAGGAATTTGCAATAACCCTCCCCCAACAGAGCAGTTATATTTTAACTAACCATTCTACAGCTTCTTGCATTTCAAATGTGCAGCACTTCTTCTTGGTCACTCATGGACAGGATACTGGACAAAGCAATCCACGGACATGATTAACAATCCCTATCGCATCATCTTCCTCGTATATTTAGATGCACAGTTTAGGTAAGTGAGGTCCTCCATCCAAGTGCCTTTTTCTTAGCGTCAGTTAGGGATGGACTGAACATAGATTAAGGTGTATGCCAGGTGTGTTCCCTACATTCATCATGAGTCCTACATCAATGTAGCTCTGACGTCTACAGCAGGGTTAGCAACAGTCTGTGGCATACCACTAAGTTCACAAATAGATTGTCATTTCTACAATAATACAAAATAGCTTGTAAAACCAATGTGTAACACTGTATATATGCATGAATATAAAAATAAACCACACCATCAATATGTAAAACTTCACAACGATGATGAAAAGAGTTTTCTTCTCAACGGTCTTCAGTATTGATGAGTTGGTTCTCATTGTCATACCCATCAGGCAGGTATGCTTTCCTTAGCTGGTCTGACTTAGGTATCGAACTGCCATTCTTGACGTAGCGGGACAGGAAGGCTCGCACAGATGGATGATCAGCCTTCTCAAGTGGAATATTCGCTTCCAGGCACATTTTCACAAAGTCCTGGATGACGCTGGTTTTCTCTGTCTGGGCAGTACTGTTGCACTGAAGGGAGGCAGTCAGAGTCCTTTGCTTCTTCCTGACGGTCTGTTCTTCAAACTCTGCCTTTCGCTTTGTGTGTGTTTTAGACTTGAGGTGGTCATTGATGGCAGACTTGCGAACGTGATTCAGAACCACGTTGCAGGAAGTACAGAAGAGTTTTCCTCCATCTTCGTGCAGCTCACTGCCAAACTCAGTTACGCGATCCTGAGGAGTCACATACAAAGCAGTCTTCGAGCGGTTACGTGATGGAGCGGACTTCACTCCAAACCGTTCCATTGTTGCCTTCAATAAACTTTACCTGAAAGCTGGGGAAAAAAAAATTGCTGTTAAAGTGTGCTAATGATTTCAACCAAATAGTTCTGGATGCAGTCTATTCAATATCCAATACAGTGCTTACTGACATCTAAGAGATAATTACACGCAAGACACCTGTGTGAAACTATTATTGAAAGGTTCTTCATCTCAAAGTCCAAAGAACTTAGGAGACCGAGCTCCTCATGGGTCAGAGTAAAACACTTTTTAGTTTCCACAACTACAGAGCTCAACAGAACCCTCAAAACTCAATCTGTTCATCACTGAAAGTCAAATAGAAAAGATTTTTGCTTTTTCTTGAAGACAGTTTTTATTCTTTACCCTTTAGTGTAAAGCGTGCTTTCTTCTTAATATTTTTAACATATTTCACAGTTTCTTACTTATGTTGAGTCAGTATTTTTCTGTTTACTTCCTGAAAATGTGTATTAGTTCTGTTAGCAAAAACTTAGTTGTCCAAATATCAGGCAAGAAGGCTATCACTGTCACTTACAAAAGCCAGTAAAAAAAACTCAACAAAACAAACAACCCAAAACCAAACCAAGAAAACCTGAGCTCTGTCAGCCCTCATTTGGGAACACCCCTCACTTTTGCCCCAGCTCAAAGCACAACTGCTAGATTGAATCTTAACTCGGAGGCAAAAGCAAATCTTTTTGTCATTGAAACTAGAGACTCGTGAAACAGCCTAATGTGAACTGAAACTTGCATGCATTTCAATTCAAAATAAGAACCTGTTTTATCAAAGACGACAACTTCTCTGATAACTGAGAGAGTCGGAGACCTTTTAACATCGCTCTAAATTACGCTATGTTACCAAAGCAGGCAATAACCTGGTCAAGTGTACTAAAATCAAACAGGACCTATTTCTTTTTTTGCTGTTGAGAAATAGAGTGGCTGGTGTGAATCTCAGCCAAGATAATTTACGTCCTTTTCAAAGTAAAGTCGAAGTCAAGCAACAGCTCTGTTCAGGTTTGAGGTTTTCTGAGCAAAATGATCATTCATTAGATTAACTACCCACTTCCTTATCAAAAAATAGGGCAGCGGGCGTTTCTTAAAAAATATATTTCGGCAAATACTTTGAGGAAATATAATAGGCTGCCTGGGCATTTACTTATGGGTATGAACGACTTTGAAGAATTTTGTATTGCCTATGCTTACAAGGCAGACTGAGAGATGGGAACACCTCCAGATCTATTATTCTCTACGCTGACTTATTTTGTTACACAGTTTGCTGTTGCAACATTTTAAAAGATCTGCCTTTAAAAGACTAGAATTTCCAAACTACCTATAAGTTGAGCCTGTCCAGCTCTGAGGGCTGAATGGTGTTTCTGCTGTCCAGAATGCCTTTTGCTTGCTCTGGAAATAGAGTAAAGGAACAGAGAATTCAGTCTTCAAAATTGTCTTTTTTCTTAAACCACTGCCACACTAAGAGATGACCACCTTTTGAAAAAAAGATCTTGCTATCAGCTACTTTCCCAGTTATTTTTTTTGCACTGTCTGCTACTTTCCAGAACTGCAAGTCTTGACTGATACTGCACAACGCTGCAGACTGAGATAAACAATCTTTTTTCACCATCGATGGAACTTTTTTCATTCTTTTTGTTGCTTTATGCAATTTATCCCCGTGAGTTTCCAAAGTAACCGTTTCCTGAAATCAAGCGGAAAACAAGTCTTAACACGAACTTGTCGCTTAGGCTTCTGAAATGCCAAAACAAATCCCCTACCAAACCAGGTGTTTGCACTTACGCTTTATCAAAATCCGTAGGAATTCTGTGAGCAGTGCAACTACTGAAACACGGAATTTTTGGTGGGGGTTTGGTTTTTTTTTTTGGTCTCAGGCTTTGGCGTGGACTCTCTGATGCTCGCTAATGCCTGAACTACTCCTGGGCTGCCAAGTGCGGGGGAAGGCGTGCGTGCGGACAAGGCATCCAGGGCAGGCACCCCACCTGCCCTCTGTCACGCTCGCAAACGCGGCAGGCTTTTCCGAGGCGGTGGGAGCCCCGGGGAAGGCGGATGAGCACGCCGCGGCTAAAAAGTGCCACCGGAGAGAGAACCGCTGCGTGTGTACGGGACCTCGGGGCGAGCCCAGGGAGTATTTCAGGTGAGGAGGAAAACAAGTCCGGATTTCCCACCGCCAAACAGGTTTCGCTGTTCCCCTCGCTGTGACCGGGAACCAGAACTCGATGCATTTATTCCCTGGGGTTTGCTCGCCGCATT